ATCGTTCCTATATCAGATCGTCAGTGCATGCATACTTGATTGAATTATATTATGCAGAATTGGCAGAGTTAAACATGCTGTAAACGCTGTAAAATCTCAGTTCAACATGATCTTTATTCTTATTTGAAGGGTTTTGATGACATACTTGTTAAAATAAAAGACGTTATAAAAGAGTTACGGAAAATACACAGAAAATAAGTGAACGTTTGTCCAAGCATCTATTTTTCCCTTATAATTTCCATCAAAACTAGCTAATTATTCAACAAGAGCAATAGGCAGAGTTACTCAACAGTGTGCAACACAATTCGGATACCACATGCCAACTTACGCTGCTTGACTCTTTCGTAAAAAAGGAGTGAAGAGTTTTTTGTCGCTTTGAACTCATCGCGAGCTCTGAATGCTGGATACAGCGCGAGACCGCGGATGCGAGCTAGGGCGTGTCATGACGTGACAGAGTGACTGATTGCCATGGAAACGTGAACGTCATGTATAGACTATCTTCTCTTTTAATTTTAAATCATTCTGCATTTATATACATCGCTCCATTAAAACCTCAACATGTCGTAAACACAACTCTCCAATAAAAAAGTGCGGGGGACGAATTTACTTTTTATAAAAAGTGGGGGGGACATGTCCCCCGCGTCCCCCGCGTAATCTACGCCCCTGGCTAAATTAATGTAAACACAGTCAGTTATGTCATAAAGGATCAAACAGACAGGACAAACCACATCTTATATTTCAAAAGAGATCTGTGCATTAGTGTGAATGCAGCTTATTAGATCTGCTGCTCTCTATGATGTCATCATAATAATCAACAACAGTAAAGCTGAGAAAGAGAAAAATCACAAACAGCTCTTGAAAGGAAAATGTTCAGATACTCTTAAATACTGAAAGCACTGTTTGTTTATTGCTTGTATGCCTAGTTCCAGACTAAAATAAATGTTTGAGCTGTCTTAACTGAAAGCAACTTGCACTGACATGTCTTAAAATATATCAGTGCCATTGTTTTGTCTGAAGATAAAGGCTAAGGCACATTACTTAGATGTCCTAATTAAACTAAGGCCTAATCCTGGCTTAATCTAAGTCTTATATTAGTTTATTTAAAATTATTACCATGCAATTGTTTTAATAAAATGTTTTAATGTGTAATTTATTTTTTTAAAAGTACTTAATTACATATGGAATTAAATTTTTAAAAGTTTTATTAACAAGACTAATAAATAAGAAAAAATATATAGTTTTGGAATCTGACTGCGACTCCCAGAATCGGAATCGAATCATGATGTGCCTAAAGATTCCCACCCCTACAATGATTTATTGCTTGTCTTTGTTGAATAATACAGAAGATAAAGAGCTCAAAAAATAATCGCATATTAAATCGCAATCGCGATATTGGTAAAAATAATCGCAATTCGATTATTTTCCAAAATCGTTCAGCCCTACTATCAAGCCACCCAGGCAGTCCCTAGAAAAAGTCATCCTTCATAATTGTTTGGAAGGCAAGCCAAAAAGCCACAGTAAAGCAAACAATTTCTTTGACGATGTAAGTGGAACAATGATGCATTAGTTTACCATCACAAACTCTGCATAACCATAATTCAACACTGCCCACACTTTAAACACTGGGCCTTATTCGTGAAACACAAGCAGAATGAATTCTTGATCATTCATAAAGCCATTCTCACATAATTAAATGCTCCACTGAATTAAATTGTATAAGAATGGTTTATATACAGTGGGTATAGAAAAGAATCACCTCTCTGTAAAATAATCACATTTTGTTGCTTTGCAGCCTGAAATGAAGACCGACTCCGTTTTTGTTTTATCCAGCTGTATTTACTCAGTGCAACTTATAACATCCATGTGAAAGCTCACCCCCTTGTGTCAGTATTTTGTTGAACCCCCTTTTGCTTTGATTACAGCCTTTAGTCCATTGGGATATGTCTCCACTAATTTTGCACATCTAGACTTTGCAATATTTGCCCACTCTTCTTTGCAGAACTGCTGAAATTCAGTTAAATTTGATAGTGACTATTTGTGGACTGCAGTCTTCAAGTCATTCCACAGATTTTCAATGGGGTTTAAGTCTGGGCTCTGACTAGGCCATGTAAGGACATTCAGCTTTTTCTCCTTCAACCACCGTGTGCTCAGTTTTGCTGTGTGCTATGGGGCATTCTCATGTTGGAAGGTAAACCTTCTTCCCATTGACAACTTTCTGGCAGAGGGCAGCAGATTTTCCTCAAGAATTTGACAGTATTTTGCCCCATCCATTTCTCCTTCTATCCTGGCAAGTGCTCCAGTCCCTGCTGCAGAGAAACTTCCCCTTAACATGACATTACCACCTCCATGCTTTACTGTAGGAATGCTGTTATTTGGATGGTGAGCTGTATTGGATTTCCGTCAGACATATCATATGGTGTTGAGGCCAAATAATTCAATTTTTGTCTCTTCTGCCTCAGAATCTCCAAGGTGTGTTTTGGCAAAGTTCAGACTGACTCACAAGGCATGTGGCCTTTCTTGAGGAGTGGCTTTATTCTTGCAACCCTCTCATACAAGCTACGTTTGTGGAGAATTTGTGATGTTGTTCTCACATGCGCACAATGACCACTTTGTGTCATAAATTCCTGCGGCTGCTTCAGAGTTGCTGTAGGCCTCTTGGTCACCTCTCTAACCAGTTTCCTCTTGGCTCTTTCATCCAGTTTGGAGTGACATCCTGATCCAGGGAGAGTCTGTGTTCCTCTTTCCAACACAGTGATTCTGTTCTTTTAAAAAACAATTTCTGACATGTTGGTGCTATCTTTCACCTGGATGTTATAGGTTGCACTTAAATGCTGGAACAATCTCTTCACCTAAAAATATGAAATTTTCACATTAAATTTGTGATTTAATGGAAGTAGTGACAGATATTTTCTTGTGTATTGTGACGTACATCCAGGTAAAATGGCTTATCGAAAAAGAAAAAAAAGTAACTTAGATGGGACTTAGTTTTATCTATCAGTTGTTGAGTGGACAGAGACAGATCTAAATATGAGCTTGCAGTCTATTGTACAAAAGTCTGCCCATCACCAGAAGATTGAAATATGGTATTTTCATAAAAAATCATGAGGTCTAAAAAATTTAAAATGAAACATGCATGAACAATTTGTTCACAATAAGATGCATTCAGAAAATAGATAGGGCGAATTTTCATTTCATGTGGACTTCAAAGTCATTTAGTTTTGAAATATCACACAGAACAAAATAGAATAGAGGATCTATAATTCAGTAAAATAAAAAATTGGTTAAGAGTCTGAATCCTTCACTTTGCAAAGTTTAGTTAATCTAAATTTTAAACCGATAGCAGATCACTCTAAATTGTAATGTAGACATACATTTTCTGTAAAGCTGCTTTGAAACGTTGTGTATTGTGAAAAGCGCTATACAAATAAATTTGAATTGAATTAAAATACCCCCCAAATAAGTGGAACAGACTGTAATTTCAGTTGTTGACAAAAGGCTCTATTTTATTTTTCTGTTATAGCAGAGTCCTTGTTGCTCAGTGTCACTCTCAGTGGCTGATGTATTCCTATCGAAGAGTATCTAAAAATGTGTCTTCGAAAACCTCTCGGATTTAACCAGAGGTTTCACATATGAGCCATTTAAAAAAAATACACAGAAAATTAATACCATAAGCTGTAATAATGGACTGTAGTTTATGCTGCGTCAAGTTAAAAAAAAAAAAGCTGTAAAAATGCCTTGAGAACCCTCCATCTACCTGCATTTGAATGCAAAAACGTGCTTCTTGGTAAGTGTGGTTTGGTGAGGCGCGCTGCCAACAACTGAGGTTGCGCTGACTGCAGACATGTAAACACATGAGGGTGGTAAGGAATGATCCCAAGCATGTTTGTTTAAAACTGCTAAAGCAGACAGGCTCTTCACAGTGGTGAAAACAATCTGGTATCTGTTATACAACTTTCTGCTAAATAATGCCAGAGAGCAAGTCTTTCAGATGTCTGGTATTATGTTTCATGGCAGTTGGCCCACACAGAACATGCACCCCCCCTACCCCACATATTGTCATCAAATGTCAAATGTGTCATCATTTAAGAAAATCTGTGGGACGAATTTAAAGGGATAGTTCACCCTAAAATGAAAACTGTGTCATTGTTTCTTACCTTCATGTAATTCCAAATCTGTATGACTTTCTTTTTTGGTGGAACACAAAAGAATATACTTTAAAGAATGTTGGAAACCAAACAGTTTCAATACCCATAGACTTCCACTGTATGGGGAAAAATAACTCTAGCAGTTAATAAACAGAACTGCACACATCCCGCGGAAGAACATTCCAACCGGAGCTACTTCTCTAAGTTTATGTCTATGGCGATTCACGCAGGTATGTGTTACTCCGCAGCGGTGACGACCCGACCAGGCTACAATAGTCCAAATATAAGTACTTATTCTAAGTGTACCGTTTGGAAGATGAATTCATGATGTACTCGCTCATTATATACATTTTGCAAATTTTGAACACAGAAAAAGTTACATAGTGCAGCTTTAAGTTCCACAGAAGAAATGGTAAATAAATGATGACTTAGGTCAACTATCCCTTTAAATATGGTACCATTATTAAATGAGGGCACTACAATCTTAATAGTGGCTAAAAACGGCATGAAAATGATAATAAACATGCAAGGAGTATGTGTAGAAAAAAAATAATAATTAAGGGTGTTCAAATTGTGCAGAATTTATATGGCATAAATTCTCTGTTGGCCTAATCATGATTAAGAGATTACTATGACCATGACTTAAAGAAATGTTTATACCTCAATGCATCCAACATTGGGAGCAGGTTAAGAAGTGCTGTGTCGCTTGGGTCACTGAACCACGACTTTATAGGTATTGCATTGTCTGAGGGTGAAAACAAATTCAAATGACATTCATAACACAATTTATTACACTAAATAATTTGTGCATCTGCTAGATTTTTGAATAGACGAACAAGATGGATGTAAGCACACAATTACCACAATTTTAACATCACATTTTAGAAAATCAGAGTGGACTCATACTAAATAAAATCCTGATTGTGCTCTCCATTGATGTACAGCTGTAGATCTCTAACCTGGGTGACTTCGATAAGCTCCAGGCGAGTTGTCCAGAATGACTATACTGGAGAGATCACTGTGTACTACAGATAGATCTTTTATGTAGCTCCCTAAATCCAAAGTACAGTGCTACAAAAAGCGCGAAAGAGAGACAGATGCACAGGTTCAGAAATTGAACAAACAGACATGTAAAACAATTTCTTAGGCAGGATCAATCAACAAAAGCCTGTACAGAGAGTAAGAACTGGTCCTTACATACCGTATCAGGTGAAAATGTGGAGGCAGTGGGTTTTACCTGTCTGTAGTATCTTCTTTTGAGGATATCCCTGTTGTTATCCAGCTTATCTGCTACGGCCGATCCATATATCTCCATACTAGCTGTAAATACTACCAGCTCATACCACTGACTGACCTGACAAATACCAGCAAGAGGACATACAGATATAAACAGGCATACATACATACACACACACACACACACACACACACACATATACACAATACTCATTAGAATATTGGTGACATTTGTCAGAAGAAAAACTAGTGCACAAAGCAAATGCAAGTAAATTGGCAACATTTACTAATAAAATAAATTATGAGACAATTCACTCACCACTTCTAAAAAGAAGTCGACGTGTGGCCTTTTATGGACAAAAAACCTGACTGGGTGTTTGTCTATTACCACCTGAATAAGAGAGAGAAAGAAAAAAAAAACTTTCAAACATAAAAAATTTACCATTTACAAGGCTGCATTTTTAAAATTGAAAATACAGTAATATTATGAAATATTATTACAATTTATTTTAATACATTTTAAAATGTAATTTATTTATGTGATGGCATAGCTGAATTTTCAGCAGCTATTATTCAAGTCTTCAGTGTCAAATGATCCTTCAGAAATAATTCTAATATGCTGATTTGGTGCTGATTCTTATTATTATCAATGTTGAAAACAGTTGTGCTGCTTAATATTTTTTGTGGAAATCATGATACATGTTTCCAGGAATCTTTGATATGAATAGAAAGTTCAAAAGACTGCATTTATATATATATATATATATATATATATAAAATTGAAATGTTTTGTAACATTATAAATCTACATTGCAATCCCTTTACTGTCAATTTAAAGCATGCTTGCTGAATAAAAATATTTCTAATTAAAAAAATCAGGTTTTCAATAGACAGTAAAATGTGTGAAGTGCTGAATGAAATAAACCCTGCATTTCCCAAAAAGCAGCAACTGCCGAAATAAACTATTACATCCGTTGTCGGAGAGGTGCGTTTGTGTACCTTGAGGATAAAGTCTGGCGGTGTACCAGGCCTCACTGTAGGTCTAAGGACGCCATCATGGTGAGAGTGAATCAAAGTCTCATCCAGATCCAACACCAATATCTTCCTCTTCACCGCATCTAAGCAGCAAACGGTCAATAAGCATCACACACAGTGAAAAGTGGTGATTCAACATTCAGAAATCCTTTAACATCTCAGGTCCTCCAACCTCTCCCAATCCTATGCCAATATGATCTCATGTCCATAAGAATTTCAGCCATGAAAAGATTAAGATCCCTGTCTAACTGAGACTTCTTCCACTCAATCTCTCTAATCCTGATATATGGATATGTAATATACTTGGATGAAAAAATATATATTTCCCAAGATATCTATTAATATTTTCCAGAATGCTTTATAGGGATATCAACTCTACCCAAAGTATAATGTACTCCATTCTTAAAAAACAAATCTCTGCTGACAGTGATTTTGATACAACAGGGTCACAAATGAGTCCTCAAAAAATTGCAACACTACATCCAGCTGTGTGGTTAGAAGCTCCCCTAGTGGATAAAACTGCACATAACAGAAGGGTGAGGGAACTTACTGAGTCTGTTTCTGGAAATAGGGGAGAGAGGTAATGTGTCATAACGCACTGTTTGGTACTGGATTATCTGTGGAAGACAGAACAGCAGACAAAGACAGAGCCAGTGATGCACATGGAACAATCATGTAGTCTTTTCCTTGCTCCCAAAATGCACACATTCAGATATTCAGACCGATCGTACAGAGGACCTATAGAGTTCTGGCTCTTTTCATGATCTATTTCTCTTCCTAATATTGCATCTTCTTTGGCCCTTTCATCATGCTGGTGCAAAGTTCAGATGAGGGCATCATATAGCAGACATCTATATAGTCACGCACCTAGAATGACCCCATACTGCCACTACTGGACTATAAATACACCTCCAAAACAGCTGCCAAAAGTTGTCATAGAAGTGTAAGGCAAGTAGAAAAATCAGTGTACTTTTCTTATCTACTTATGTAATGTGACTTTTATGTATAAATAAAATACAAACCGTTTTGTGTGATTAGAATAAAGCTTAAGTTAAAAATACAAACTTGTTTTGGCTCAGGTAGTTATGTAAAACAACTCAAGGTCATTTGGTTTTGCCAGAGAAGCCTGGGTCTTGGGTGCATCAATTAGTGCAGTTTGAAAATTATAAACAGATTTCCAACAATGGTGCGTTTATGAAATTATAGCTGTCGTGACGTTATGAGATAACTGTAATATTCCCAGCAATTATTAGTAATTTAAAACAAAAATTTTTAACAAAACATTTACAAGAAGAAAACAACATGTATAAAATGTATTTAATACAATTCTCAGTGAGTGTATTGTACTTTAATAGTTTTGGGTCTGTACCTCTTTTCATGGCAGGCTAAACATATTGTAGGGGGTCCATAGTCCAAAGTAATTAGGACAAACAGCATCATAAACACACTCCCAGGCCCCGGGGTTACAGAGGCACAGCTGAAGCAGGCACAATCTGAAACCTACTACTGTGCCAAAGTTTCATTAAACTTTTTTTGATACAATGAGTATGAGGAACTTTAACACAAATCAACAATTAAAGCAGCATATAACAAATCCAAAACATGTTTCTGTTCTCAAATGCCAAGTTATTTTTATTACAGATCCTACAATGACACAGCTGAATAGTAGGCTATATGTTTATTTGCACTATAAAATGTTGCATAAGTGACAGCTCAGTAAATATATTAATATTATCGCTTGCAAAAATCTGAACAGGGTTAAAGGGTTAAAATAAACAATATGTCTGGTAACTCTTAGGAATTAGTGCATGAAAACAATATTCCTCGAATGACTTAGTACAATAAGTGTTATAAAGATTCTAACATTTCAAAGTTACCAGTAGCTGTTTGTTTTTTGAAGATTAGGTCGGTTCAGTTTATTATTTGAAGAAAGGAGCTCATAAATGAAGAGAACATATTATTTACAGACGACAGGTCGGAATTCATTCTATGGAGAACAGATAAACATATGTTGACTTGCTCACCGTCCGTAGATGTTTCCTGAGGATGTATAAAATGAAACTCCATATTCTAGACGTCACTCCAAGGAAGGAGCGAATCCCGAGTAAACACTGACGAGTCTTCAACATGCTGACAGTCGATGAACCATAGAAGAGATTCACCCTCTCCACTAGAGACCAGTGACTCCAGAAGAGCTGGGACTACGGCTACAGCTAATCAGGTCGGCTAACCACTTCCCGCCGCTTCTTTGCTCTTAAAGTCCCGCGAGCGAGGCTAGCCAAACTAGAGAATCCAGAGACTCTGCTGCACCTGGACCAGCCAGTGTCACAAAACTGCTCAAATGTCAAACGTCTTAAAGCGTGTAGCCACGCACTCAAACCAGCCTCTGCGATCAAGGGCTAACTGGACTTGGATTTCATTGGCAAGGCAGCTAGCTCTGGATCTAACCAGCTCTACAACAAATTATCCCTCCTCGGATTGACGACTCTTGTGCTCGACAGGTTCGATGTTAATCTCGAGACCTCAGACAAATGGCGCAGTATGCAAAAAGTCCAATAAGAAGCCATCAAATTCGTTTCAGTACATATCCGGGAGCAAACTGCGAGCCGCCATCAGTACTTTGCTTTCGTCACTTCCGAGAAACAACAAACGTGCCCTCAGAGAAGCCGGGCGAAGAGCAGAGTGAGCCACACGAGGAGACTAATAAACGGTCAAACCATAAACTCTCAGATATATTCTCAAATATATTGTTAATAACACATGACACTTACTTTCCTCCGACATAACAGAAGGCCAATATAGGGCGAGATATGCAATAGCTATAATAGAATAAAATAAAAATAGGAAGAAATCACATTTTTATTTGCTTGATTTTATATATATATTTCATTTATAAAGATGCCTCATGTTTTGGAATTTATAGAAGGTTCTGGTTACATAGATATGCTACACATTGAAAAGGTGTATGCTCAAAATAGGTGACAATGATGGATCTCTTCACGTTCCACATATGCACATATTTATGATGTACAGCCTTCAAGGAAAACAGACCATTTTTGTCCAATCAAATATTCTCCAAATTGAGAATCACCTTCCACGGAACTGCAAGTCAAATCATGGTTCATCAATTTAATAATATAAATATAAATAATATTTCAGTTGGTCATATTCATCAGAAGTCTCAGTGACAACTCTGAAATATATTTATAAATATTTATAATGATAAATATAACATTTATATTTACATTTATTATATTTATATAATATTTATTTATACATATTCTAAATATTTATAAATCTATATTTTAAAAAAACGATTAAATGTGGTTTGTCGCCGCAAAGATTTTCAGCTGTCCTTCCTGTCTCCCATAGCACTGTCTTAGGTGTCTTACATTATGGACATTGCAGTTTATTGCTCTGGCCACATCTGCAGTCCTCATGCCTCCCTGCAGAAGAACTATGGCATGTTCACGCAGGTGTTCAGGAACACTGGGCGTCTTTCTTCTGTTTTTCAGAGTCAGAAAGGTCTCTTTAATGTCCTAAAGTATTGTAACCTTAATTGCCTGCTGCCTGTAAACTGCTGTCTGAAGTGTTTGAAGGACCGTCCCAAAGCTGCATGTGCAATAATTGTTTATGGTTCACTGAACATGCATGAAAAACATTGTTTAAACTCTTTCTAATAAAGATCTGTAAAGCATATTTGGATTTTACAAAATTATCTTTGAAATACAGTATCCTGCAAAAGGGAAAACATTTATAAGAAACGCAGAAATAGACCTTAATCAGGTTATATGCCATATGTAATTTCATGCATTACCTAAACATTACAATGCTATACACCTTGTAATTCTAAAATAAACGTTAAACGTTGGCAAATGTTTTAAATTTAATTCTTTGTGTTAGCACACACCAGTAAGGGGGCCTTGTTGGTGGATCAAGGCACTTGCTTTACAAATTGTAAAAAAAAAAAAAAAACACAAAATGTAAACATATTTTTTGATGCATGAAGTAGCGTATTTATGTATGACTGAAAGCAGAATACTACATTCGAGAATCGAGATCCTCGATGTAGGAACCCCAGGAACACGCCTGAGAAACGCTGGTGTAGCGTGGGCTCTGGTCAGCAGGAGGCAGTGTTTTCAACGGGACGTGCAGCGAATCTGCAGCGGGTGTAAACCTCGTTCACTGACGCTGGGCTGGTTTGTGTGAGAGGAGGACGGAAGGAGATCTGTTTCTGGTTAGCTGTGTGTTAATAGTATGCGAAAGATGCTAACCATAATATCTAACGTTCTGAGGGGAAGCGCCAGCAGGAACGTAAGTATTTTATCTTTTGATTCATAAAATTTGCTGTTTTGCTTAGTAGAGCAAATTACAAATGCTTTGACGGCTAATGCAGCGCAGTCATGCCATGTTGACCTTGCAGGGTACTCAAGGCCCGGCTGTTACCCTTCTAAAGACACGGTGCTGTTAAATTCTCATGTTGGTGCTGGTTCTTTCACGTCAACCAACGTAGCATTTATTTTTATTATTGATATAAATATAATCAGATATTTTACTATTTGTTCAAAGTGATTTAGCTTGGCTAGCTAGCTCAAATGCACTGGGAGGTTAACGTCTAAAACTGGTTAGTCAATGAAATGTCACTGAAATAATAACCTATAATAAAACACTATGAATGTACTATGAACAGTACATTGTTTACAACGAGAAACAATGTACTGTTCATAAAACCGTTGGTTCTGTTTCTAATCGTTTAGTATTAATAGTTTAATACCACTCAGTCCTTGTCAAGCCCTAGTGTCGAAAATATATAAAAATGAAGTTCTATTATTGTTGTTATTATTATTAAAAAGCAATATTTCTTAAATTAATTTTCAGGCTCATATTTTTCCTAACCATATTATAACAGACTTTAAAGACGCACTAATTTAATTTTTATTGATTTTTAATTTTTAAACCAATTGGCCAGTCACTTTTTTATTATACGCTTCTATGCTCTATTGCCACTATTATAGTTTGATATGTAAACGTTTTTTTCTTCTTTTTGAGCCAAACATTGTTTAAACTCTTTCTAATAAAGATCTGTAAAGCATATTTGGATTTTACAAAATTATCTTTGAAATACAGTATCCTGCAAAAGGGAAAACATTTATAAGAAACGCAGAAATAGACCTTAATCAGGTTATATGCCATATGTAATTTCATGCATTACCTAAACATTACAATGCTATACACCTTGTAATTCTAAAATAAACGTTAAACGTTGGCAAATGTTTTAAATTTAATTCTTTGTGTTAGCACACACCAGTAAGGGGGCCTTGTTGGTGGATCAAGGCACTTGCTTTACAAATTGTAAAAAAAAAATAAAAACACAAAATGTAAACATATTTTTTGATGCATGAAGTAGCGTATTTATGTATGACTGAAAGCAGAATACTACATTCGAGAATCGAGATCCTCGATGTAGGAACCCCAGGAACACGCCTGAAAAACGCTGGTGTAGCGTGGGCTCTGGTCAGCAGGAGGCAGTGTTTTCAACGGGACGTGCAGCGAATCTGCAGCGGGTGTAAACCTCGTTCACTGACGCTGGGCTGGTTTGTGTGAGAGGAGGACGGAAGGAGATCTGTTTCTGGTTAGCTGTGTGTTAATAGTATGCGAAAGATGCTAACCATAATATCTAACGTTCTGAGGGGAAGCGCCAGCAGGAACGTAAGTATTTTATCTTTTGATTCATAAAATTTGCTGTTTTGCTTAGTAGAGCAAATTACAAATGCTTTGACGGCTAATGCAGCGCAGTCATGCCATGTTGACCTTGCAGGGTACTCAAGGCCCGGCTGTTACCCTTCTAAAGACACGGTGCTGTTAAATTCTCATGTTGGTGCTGGTTCTTTCACGTCAACCAACGTAGCATTTATTTTTATTATTGATATAAATATAATCAGATATTTTACTATTTGTTCAAAGTGATTTAGCTTGGCTAGCTAGCTCAAATGCACTGGGAGGTTAACGTCTAAAACTGGCTAGTCAATGAAATGTCACTGAAATAATAACCTATAATAAAACACTATGAATGTACTATGAACAGTACATTGTTTACAACGAGAAACAATGTACTGTTCATAAAACCGTTGGTTCTGTTTCTAATCGTTTAGTATTAATAGTTTAATACCACTCAGTCCTTGTCAAGCCCTAGTGTCGAAAATATATAAAAATGAAGTTCTATTATTGTTGTTATTATTATTAAAAAGCAATATTTCTTAAATTAATTTTCAGGCTCATATTTTTCCTAACCATATTATAACAGACTTTAAAGACGCACTAATTTAATTTTTATTGATTTTTAATTTTTAAACCAATTGGCCAGTCACTTTTTTATTATACGCTTCTATGCTCTATTGCCACTATTATAGTTTGATATGTAAACGTTTTTTTCTTCTTTTTGAGCCAACTACATTGGTCTAAAAATATAACAAAACAAGAAAGGAATATTTTGATGTCTTACCCTAGATGTCATATTAAAAGTCACGGTTTTAGAGTTCATATCTCTAATCAGAGAGTCATTTTTCCCCCTCTAACCGTGACCATGTCTAATAATATAAGATTTTTTGACACAATGAAATGAATGTCATTGCTCTGTTGGCACAATAAAATTAATTACATTTTGCAGACAAGCATCTTTCATGAAAATTATTATCTTCTCAATCGCTTTCTCTTTACTAATTCTCATGTCTTTCTCTCTCTCTCTTTCAATATCACTTTGCTCTTTTTTTAACTGTTCCATGGGCTGCCTTAAAGGGAGCTGAACTGGTATCAGAGGTAAGAGATGGTTGTTTTAGAAATGGGCTTATTGACATGACATCTGTGCCATCTGCTGTTTTTTTCAGTTTTTATTCTTTCGGTGGTTATGAACTGAACATTAAGATCATTATTTTTGCTTGAAATTATTTCACTACAAAGACTTTCTTCCTCACTTATGATTTTTATATCATACTCTCTTCCTCACTGAGTTTCCAATCACTGGTTTTGACACATTAAACATGCTTCTGCTACATGCTTTTTACTTATTTCTCAAATATTGTGGCGGTTTTAGTTTGCTGTGTTGTGGGTTTGAGGGAAATAATTCTGCTCTATTTACCCTGGTCAATTACTACAGCTCACATCTTCCCTTTTAATCTCTCTCTCTCTCTCTCTCTCTCTCTCTCTCTCTCTCTCTCTCACACACACACACACACACATGTACGTTAAAAGCACTCCCAGTTTTGTCATGAATATTTTTTATAGGACATCAATTGAAACCTGTTTGAGATATATTGAGGCTTTCTGGTATTTGAATTTGTGATATGATTTGGCCAATATTATATATACATGTGATTAACAAATATGTCAGTATCAGTTCTAAAAGTTGACAACAGATTTGTCAATGGATACATTTTTTAGTTAATTCTGAGTAAATATTGCATAAAATATTTCATGATTAAATTCTCAATTCTCATTATTAAATTGGATGTGTGGATATCGGCATTATATTGATTATCGGGCACTCTGCTGTCTAGATATCAGTATCAACATCAGCCATTTTGACCATTTGAATGTTATCTGGCTGGTAGCCATCAACAGTTGTTTATTGCCTGTGAGTAGCTTAGTGTAGGTTAGCATAGATTAGATTTCTATTGGTTTAGTGCAGTAAAATGTTGTCTTTGTGGTCTCTAAACAACTAAATGTCTCGTCTTGCTCCTTTAAATGTTCCCTTCTTATGGTCTTCTGAGTCTGACCCTCTGGAGTGACCTGTGTGCCCATCTTTTTACAGTCCTCCACTCTACGGGCCGTTCTGCAGCTCCTGGCGGTCCAGAGTGAATATGCTAATTTGACCTATCCACATGACCATGATCTCGACCCCCCTTCACTCTTAAAAGATACACAACCCCTCAGCCCTTCCGTAGAATACAAAGCTTTAGGCAGTGGCCAGTCTTCAGGAGACTCGGGACCACACGACAGACCTCTGACAGATGTTGCTTCCTCCGAGGCTATAGCTCAGAAAGAAAGTTATGTGGAACCGGTGATGACCAGTGGTTCATCCACCTCAGAAGAATTAAGCATGGTTACTCTGGTTAAGGAACGAATATCAGAAAGAGAAAAAAATATATTTGAAAAGATCATCAGTCCCGTTATAGATGTTCCTCCATCACCTGCCCTAAATACAGTTAAGTCGCCTATTAACCCAGCCACCAGTCCAGCACAGTTAACCCCTGCAGTAGCTAACAGCAGTTTTACCCTAACCAGCACAGACCCCCTTGCATACAATTGTCCCTCACCAGCCAGGAGCCTCCTGGGCCTTGATAATTCCTTCCCAGAGATCACCCACAGCCTGGCTGAAGAGACTCCCTTACCAGAGCCACAGCTTGCCTATATTAAAATACACTGCCTCATGTACACAGCTTAACATTATTTTTAACCCTCCTTATGGAGTATTGCATGCCCCTTCCACTTTACCCAGAGCACCTGAATTCTGCAGCTCACGATCAGATTTTTTTTCTACAAACTTTATTCGTTCTTTGTTACTGTTACATACCTGAAGCAAAATATTTGTTAAAGTACTCAGCATGTTGGTCCCACATCTAATTGTGGATGGATTCCTTGTGATGTTTCAGTTTTCTACATCCAACCCTATAATCAAAGAGATGTGCAAAGTCCGTGTAGATGATAACATGCACTGTGTCAGTTTTCCACATCTAGGCCTAAGTGTTGGTTTATTGGTATTAGATTGCAGGTTTGTTGTTGTAGTTGTTGGGTAAAATTGCAGTGGTTATGTATGTCGGATTATTACAGATATATTTCATTGTCCCCTGGCTTGCTTCCTATTTCAGACATAGTGCTTTTGACATATTGATGTTATCAATGTTGATATTGATGGTTGATATTAACATCTCAGTTCCTGTCAGATGTGTGTGTGTGTGTGTGTGTGTGTGTGTCTGTCTGTGTTTCCATGTGACTATTTTTTTTTTTTACCATCTTCACTCATTTTCTCTGTAGAGGATTTTTTAAATGTATTTTCTGTTATTATTTATGTTTCATAGGGTGCAAGAGTGGTGGTATCTGCCAGGACCTATGCAGACTTTACCCCTCAGGCCACCTTTGATATTAAGGTGAGTTGATCAGCTCAGCAGTTACTTAATTTATTGTGTAATATATATTTCAGTGCATATACACTACCGTTCAAAAGTTTGGAGTCTGTAATTTTTTTTTAAAGATATTTATATTTTAAAAGAAATAAATTAAATGTATCACAGTTTCCATAAAAATATTAAGCAGCACAACTGCTTTCAACATTGATACTAAGAAATATATATATATTTTTTTTTTGAGTACCAAATCAGCATATTAGAATGATTTCTAAAGTCTCATGTGACACTGAAGACTGGCGTAATGGCTGCTGAAAATTCAGCTTTTCCATCACAGGAATTAATTATATTTTAAAATATATTAAAATAGAAAAAACTCATTTTTAACTGTTATAATATTTCACAATATTACTGTTTTACTAAAAAAATGCAGCCTTAGTGAGCAGACTTCTTTCGAAAACCGTACAAATCTTACTGACCCAAAGCTTTTGAACTTTAGTACTGTGCATTTTACTGTATCTTAATGCATTTGAAAGCTTTTATTTATTTTAATTTTTTTTGCAGAAATGTGACTTACACAAGCTGGATGAAGGCCCACCACTGCAGGCCGTGCTTTCAAGAGAGGAGGGGCTTCAGTACTACCGCACAATGCAGACCATGAGACGCATGGAGCTCAAAGCCGATCAACTCTACAAGCAGAAGATCATCAGGGGCTTCTGTCACCTTTATGATGGACAGGTGCCACATGCACTGCAAACACACAGACATATTTACAAGCAGAAGATTATCAGAGACTCTTTCATTTCTAAGCACTCACTTTTGCCAGTGCAAAATAGTCAAATTTAATATTATTATATGTTTTGATTCACATGGTTGCAAGCGTCATTTGTAATTGGTTCAAATGTTGACAACTTGGTGGAGACAGAAACACTTACAAGTACATTGTGTCCTCTGACAGGAAGCATGTGCGGTCGGTATTGAGGCAGGTATTAATCTATCAGATCATCTTATCACAGCGTATCGTGCCCACGGGTACACTCTCACTAGAGGGGGCACTGTTCGTGAGATCATGGCAGAGCTCACAGGTGAGAACAACAAAACCGATTAAAGTTTAAAGTTGTGATCTCTTATAAATATATCTCTTTTATTTTTTTATTTGTTTGTTTGTTTATCCTATCCCTCTTCTATGTGTCTCTATTTCTCCATCAGGCCGTAGAGGAGGTATTGCTAAAGGAAAGGGAGGGTCTATGCATATGTACACTAAACATTTTTATGGAGGAAATGGAATTGTGGGAGCTCAGGTACTTTAAATGAATCCCTTATGAATAGAGAGCTGGTATCAATACTGATTAAGTATTAAAAATAACTTTATATTTCACACGTGTATCCCAGGTGCCTCTTGGGGCAGGTGTAGCGTTGGCCTGCAAATACCTGGGCAAGAATGAGCTGTGTGTCTGTCTCTATGGTGATGGTGCTGCAAATCAGGTTAGTCACTTCTGCGCAACAGTCAAGTGTTCACCCGCTACAAGGCCTAATGACTGATTTAGCTACTTGCTAATAACATTTCACACAGATCTGTCCATGTACTGCTTTACCTTATCTTCTAACTTGTGCATTATGATGGGTCTGTAGCAGTGGTTGTACAGGGAGGTTTCACACATACTTTTGCACTGTTTCTGCAGGGTCAGATCTTTGAGACTTATAATATGGCATCTCTGTGGAAGCTGCCCTGCATCTTCATTTGCGAGAATAACAAATATGGCATGGGTACTTCTGTGGAGAGAGCAGCCGCTAGTACTGACTATTACAAGAGAGGCGATTTCATCCCTGGATTGAGGGTATGATGCAGGATGGACACTTCGTCGTGCTTTTACTTGGGCCTGAATTTACTCTTTATGTCAGAATATCTTCTTACCTTTTCTCTGGCATTGTAGGTGGATGGCATGGATGTTCTTTGTGTAAGGGAGGCCACCAAATTGGCTGCTGAACACTGCAGATCAGGAAAGGTGAGCTCTGGTTAGAGTGATGTCAAATTGTAGGGATGGAAAAAAATATTATTAGCTCTGTTGGGAAGTATGATATTTGAATGTGTTTTATGCAACGTATTTATATGGGCAATTCCACAGCGGCAACGAAAGAATAATAGATCATCGTTAAACTACTTCTAAAATGTTTTCTGTTTGCAGATATGCTTATAGGATACAAGCAGTTATGTAGCAATAATAAAACACCTGAAATTTATATTCATAGGGTCCCATTCTGATGGAGCTGCAGACCTATCGTTACCATGGACACAGTATGAGTGACCCAGGAGTCAGGTAATATTTTATATAATCTCAACCAAAGCTCACCATTGCTTTGAGCAGCAAGCAGTCTTCCTGGATTATATTTAGACAAGAGTGTAGGTACAAGAGGTCTTCGTTATACAATGAATGACACATTTTAGTAACTGAAATACATGTGTTTTTATAGCTAAACTGCTTTACTATTCAAACTGGGTAACATACTTTATCATTCAAATGTTTGGAGTCAGTGAGATGTTTTTTTTTAATGTTTTTGAAAAAAGTTTCTTAAGCTCACCAAGTCTGCATTTATTTGATTAAAATACAGTAATATTGTTTTAAGTTTTAAATTTTAATATATTTTAAAATGTAATTTATTCCTGTGATGGCAAAGTTGAATTTTCATCAGCCATTACTTCAGTCTTCAGTGTCACATGATCCTGCAGAAATCATTCTAATATGCTGATTTGGTGCTCTTGAAACATTTCTTATTTTTTTTAACATTTCTTATTCAGTGTTTAAAACAGTTGTATTGCTAAAGCTAAATAATTTGTCGAAAAGATGATACAGAAAATTCAAAATGATTTGGAATAGACATCTTTTGTATTATAAATGTTTCTACTGTAACTTTTGATACATTTTATCTGTCCTTGTTGAATAAAAGGGAAAAAAAAGTGTATTTGGCATAGCTCTACTTACTATCACTGAACTAGAAGTCTTCTCGGGTCCTAAAATCTGTACCCGACCCGAATCACTTCTTACCCAAACCCGACGTGTATTATTATTATTTTTTTTTTTAAAAGAAAAACCCGACCCGAGACCGACCCAATGAAATTAGACACGAGTTTATTATTACTTTATATTATTACCTGCCTGATGGATACAATTTATTTCTGAGTTTGGCTTTCAATTGTGACCAGTCGATTGAAAAATAAACGTGATAGCCGTGATAATTTAATCGATAGCCTAATAAATCATGGAATTCGCTAGTGTTGTCTGTTCTGCAGTGCTATTTACCTCATCCCCGGTGAAGGGATTCTGCACACAAAAAAGAAAAGCACTGCCCTGCATAAAGACGCACCGTATGGGTTTCTGTGTGCTAGGTTACAAACGTATGTTCCTTTTTCTACATGTTTCTCAAAAGTGCACTTAACACCAACACGCAGGTACGTTAAAGTGATCGGCTTTTATCGGGTCCATTTGGAAAAAGCTCATTTATTTTAAATTACCCGAGACCCGAGGCAACTAATACCTCGACCCGTGTCCGAGGCACTCGTCAAAGATTTGGACCCGAACCCACTCGGGTCTCGGATCTAAGTGGACCTGTGAAGACCTCTACACTGAACCTCATTAAAACAACTCCTGATTGTTTTTCTATTAGTGCTCCTCCCCATATGTGACATTTGCTCTTCCTATCCACTGTTCCCATAGTTACCGCACACGTGATGAGATCCAGGAGGTGCGCAGCAAGAGTGACCCCATCTCGATGCTGAAGGATCGCATGCTGAGCAACAACATGGCCAGCGTGGAGGAGCTTAAGGTGAGACTGCACATACTTACGAGAGACAGACTGAAGTAGGACACAATCATTGAGACAGTCACAGTTGACTTGTGTGTGAATTTTCTGAGTCAGTCACATTGGTGTATAAGGATATGGATTACTCAATTATACTGAAGAATGCGAGTTCTTTGTGCTGAAAGTTGGACATTTCTGCAGTTTCACTAAACACTGACACCTTTTACAGGAGATTGATGTCGAGGTAAGGAAGGAGATTGAAGATGCCGCTCAGTTTGCCACCACAGACCCTGAGCCTCCACTGGATGATCTTTGCAACCACATCTTCTACAATGACCCTCCTATGGAAGTGCGTGGCACTAACCCCTGGACCAAGCTCAAGTCTGTCAGCTAAATCATCCTAAGTCCCCGCCTCGTCCTACCAGTTGACCCTCTCCTGTTGAAGATCACAGAAAAATATGATCACCTCCGATATGGCTATAGATTTCATAGACAGTTATTGGGAAACTCAGCCAAATCTCTCAGCCACATTGTGATAAGTTGCTTAATTTCACATTTTATCATTGGCTTGTTTTCTTGTTGTCTTTATCAACTACAATACTGACCCTGACTATAAATTTTAAAACTAGATATTTTTTCATCTTATATTGGAAATATATGTCATATAAATAAATAATGTAATGTGCGCACACACACACACACATCAGTTTATATATCAACGAGTATGTTTTGACTGAGGTGTCTGTGAAATGCAACCATTTTGCAGTTCTAATTTGACAAAATATTTAAAGGGAAATGTTTATTAACATTTATAAATTGTAAATCTGTGGCCATATTACAAAAAGTTTGTGTGATATTTATGGGATCTAAAATAGAATATTTCATTTCGGTTGTTTCTTAACACTCTGCCAACTCAATCAAGTGTTTGAGTGTTTAAACAAAAAATGCAAATGAAAACTAAGATGAGTAAGATTTAAATTAAACACAGCTTAAAATGTTGCTTTAGAATGGGAAAAGGTTAATAGATGCTTACCTTTTCACTCTCTTGAACTTTTATTTAAAACTGGGTTTTTGTTGTCATGTGTATATATTATGAAAAATTGCTTTTGTTACAAACAATGTTACTGGGGATATAAATTCACATTTGGCAATTCCAGTGTATTAATAGTTGTTTTAATAGAATGTTTGTTGAAAATCTCTGGTAATTGGGAAAGTAACAATTGTTGCAATAGATGTTAGGATGCTGTTAAGATGTTAAAGGGGGCATCGGGGTCACAGCTTAAAACTTTTGCTGTATTGACCAGGATGAGTCAACAAGATCAGGCAATGTATGTGTCATCCAATGTAGTCTTTATACCATACAACAACAAATAAATATTTCAAATACAAACTTTTGTTGTGAGTAGATGCCTTTGTTGTTCTAAATTTTGTTAAACATTCCTTATCCTTAAGCCTATCATATTTGATACATGGATTTCTAAACATGGTCAAAACATGGAGAAAAAGCTGCTTTACACAATCTACATGCCTTCTGACGTCTGATTGACAGGTTATACTTTGAGATACTGAGTAACTGATATTTATATGCATTTTTTGTAAGTAGTCTGCTATTCTGTTCTAAAAATCTCATTGATTTACATCACAAGCTATCGGAATTTCATCAAATAATTTATATTTCTATTTTCTATCACATATTTTAACTCTCTTTGGACCTTTGAATAAAATTGTGATGTTTCTTCCACGTGTGGAGCTCCATAATCTTAAATCACACAATATATTTTCCATGTAGGCTATGTATCAAATATGAAACAAAACATAAAACATATATGCAAACTATTTTAAAATGCATATGTCTTGTCTAAATTGAACTCTTCATTAAACTCTTTCTCTTAACTCTTAAATGTCTTACTATTATTTTTTTTATGTTAGGCTTTACAAGGTTGAAGACAGCATGAATTGGGGAGCTCACGCATCTATTAATACTGAGGGGACCATAACAAATAATTAAATATTTCCCATTAATGTGGCATGTGAGCAAGAAATGAGCTCTTTATTTGTAGGATTAAAGCACAATCAGCTTTTTTCTAAGCCCTCTGGTACTGCTGGATGAGTTTTTATCAGCTGTGCTGTTGTGATTTCCCTCCATCTGCAGTTTTTTTGCTTGTGCACTTCATTTATTAAAAAAGAGCAACATGTGTGTGTTTTTCTTATGGAGGACTTAATCGATTAAAACATGTGGATGCTACGCAGGGAAAAGAGATTTAAACAGATTTGATGATCAAAGGATTTATGTTCTACATAATCAGAAATGAAACACAACCGAGGATCCTCCAATGTGATTCAGACTGCCTTGTACAAAAAGCAGAGATGATAAAGACTCTGAATAGGCGATATGAAAAATACATTTAATAATATCTCAAGATATCATTCCTTGACCAAATTAAACTACCTGAGGACCCATGTCATGTACTGTACATGGTGTGTAAAAAGTGGGTGGCCACAGCGTCCCTCGCTCTATGACTCATGGCGACGTTTCCTCCAGCCTCGTTCTGACAGACAGGTGAACGACGCCATGTTGAGCGAAAACGGAAGTGTATTCCTCTGCTGTTAAAAACATCTTTTGAATTTTTGTCAAAAGGAACCGGACACGTTAGAAGTAAAAAGTTACCCAGAAGGCAACTGAACTGAATTCTTCTTTTATTTACTCGTCAGTTAGGGACCATCCTCTTTGTGGGACTGTTTTAGTGCAACTTAGCACTGACTGACAGCGTCAAATCACTTCACGGTGGTTGATCGTAAGTTATAGATCGGGGCTTGAAGATGCCGCTGGCGCAGTTCGCAGACCCCTGGCAGAAGTTGCCGGTGGGGCATATGGAGAATGAGGTAGGTTATGTTACGTTTAATCAAGGAGTGTTGTTACGCGGTGATCGTGTGAGATAACATTTAATCCGATACTTCGTGCCACGGAGGAATGTCAGTGGACAGTCTTGAAGTGCGTACTTGGACTACTAGTTTACAATTAGCAAACGCTGTATTCAAACAAAAGGTTTGCGCTTTTGAGTTTCGCTACTTTTCAAACTCCTAACTGAAATACAAAAGAGTGCGTGCTTCATAGTTATAAGTCGACGTTAAAATGCAACGAAGTATTAAAAGTGATTTAAATGTTAACTTAGACATTTCATTGGACCAAAGTGCCTAGTTAAGTTACTTGGTAAAGCTGGAGAATGTGTAAGCCGTCGAAGCAAGACTTGACCAGACAAGCCCAGTACGAGTGTGTGTGTGTGTGTGTGTGTGTGTGTGGGTGTGTGTTCGATGCAAGATTACTTGTTCATTGTTACTTAAAATGGACACTTGCTTGCTTCTTTAGCTGGTTGAAGTTTGTCTTAAGTAACTTACGCATTGGGTAATAAGTACAGGGTGGGGAACTAACGTTTTATAGACTGACTGACAGGCATTTTCTCAAAACCCAGTGAGCTCAACATACATAGTCAGCATTTTTGGGCGTCACAGGCGTGCCAAAAAATGCCATATATGTGCAAAATATAAGATTATGATACCCCCCAAATACTGTCTATGTAGGTAGACGGCCCATTAGGTTTTGAGTCACGGCCAGTGTGTAACTTAGATTATGAAACAACTGCATTTTTTGCAGTCTGGAGTTGTGCTGGCTGTCATGCTCTAATCGGAATCAAATTAGACCTTCACTGTTTTCCCTGCAGGCTTGTATGTTTCTGTTTGTGGATTACATTTGAATATTTTTTCCTTTTTACTGTGAAATTATCTGGATGAGATATTAAATATACAATTTAATTAAATGGCCCTACTAATCCTAAATTAAAATACATAGAACTGTGGATATTATCCAAATGGCCATCTGGCACTGAAGACTTAAGTAATGGCTGCTGAAAATTCGGCTTTGTCATCACAGAAGTAAATTACATTTTAAAATATATTCAAATGGAAAGCAGTTATTGTAATAATAATTTGCAGTATTACTGTTTTACTGTAATAATGCAGCCTTAACAGACTTCTTTAAAAAAAACATTAAAAAATCTTACCGCCCCAAACTTTTGAACAGTAGTGTGCATACTGTATGAATATTCAGTGTATTGAAAAATGTACAGTGCAGAGTTCTATTCAACTTTAAAAAGAGAGTAGATTAAATTCTAAAACTGCTTGTATAAAAACAGATATGTCATGCAAAAAGATAACATTTTTGTATTAAATATATCAGAACCAAATGATCTAATGGTTTTCAAACCACTCTAGTGATGATCCATAAAATATTTAGATAATGTATTATTATGATTATATAACTTTCAGTATGGCTCCAAATCCATGCTTACTCCAGGGGATGATTACACGTGCTGGAGCCTTTATTAACTTCCCTTTGATCCTGGCTACTAATCCTGTGGTCTGAAAATAGCCATCCTATGCTGCTTTCTTTTAGTTCCCCGTTTATGCGTGGACAGTGGAGCTATAAATAATCACTTAGTCTGTGACTGTATGTAAACAACAGTCTTCCACACTGCTATTTTACTCTTATGTCAACACATGGTCAGATGATTTCACTTTGCACTAGGGCTGTGCGATATGGACAAAAAAAACCTATCGTGATTTCTTGATCAATTTTGCGATTTCGATTTTAATCACGATTTTGACACGCACAGACATGCTTTACAGTCATAAATGCATTCAGTGTGAATTTGAAACATATTACCAAAAGAAAACCAATTAGAGCTTTATCAAAAAGCTGTAACATGTCTCTAGAACAGACATAAGGCAAAATAATCACTAAGTAAAGGTGTAACAAAATGTCTCTAGAATAGACACATATGGCAGAAAAAGGAATTTCCAGGGATTTTTTTTGCCATGCATTGGTCATACAGCTCTTTGTGGCGTTGCCTCAGTTGTTGAACTAGATTTGTTGCGCCAAGTTCACACGTACTCCGTCTGCAGTGCGTATACAGTATGTGTATGCGGTGCAGAAGCAGCACAGACTCATTTTGGTTTCGCGCAGGACGCGTTTGCAGTCCGCTCCTGATCCGTGTCTGTTTACCACAAACACAACATTTATCCATTATTTGATTTCAGATCCAAACGTTGTTTCTGAAAATCCTTTTTCAGCATTGTGATTCTCTTTTTTTATCACAGTACAGTAATACAATCTTTCATAGACATATTCACGTTTAAACTCAATAAATATTACTTTAACTACCACCACGAGTGCCATCTATTATATCCTTGTTTATCTAAAAGTGCACTTTTCCTTGTTTTAAATCTGGCCAAAAAGCCATGTTTTGACTGTGAAACAGTAGAATTTAATTACATGCATTTATGTTGTAATTACTAAATTTCTGTGTCAATCCATGTAAATTTTTACCGCGAATAATACGCTGTGCATGCAGCACAGCAGAAATAGACAATCGCGTGCAGTGTAAACGCTCTTTCTTGGGCTGCGTTTCCCAAAAGCATCGTAAGCTTACGTACATCGTACACCCATTGAACCCAGTGGAGCTACGATCAACTTAAGCTTACGATGCTTTTGGGTAGGGATGGGCGATACCACTTATTTTGTTTTCGATACGATACCGATATTTTTCAAGGCAGTATCGTCGATACCGATACGATACTTCTGAACTAAACTTTTAAATGATGAAATGTATTAATCCGTTAACATGGGCGCGGACAAAATCCGCACCACAGACGGAGTGCGTGAACCTGGCGTTACGTTTGTATGCCCGCCCGGTCTGTTCTGTTCTCATGCTCCATTTAGGCACGCATGCATTCTGAATGGTTCGGATCCCATAATAGCATACTGCGGAGGTCGGGGGCGTGGAAAATCGTGCTATAAAGCGATTTAGAAATCGCGCAAGCTCAAATCACGATTTTATGACGATTTTGATTAATCGCACAGCCCTACTTTGCACATAGTCATTATCCCTCATGGAGCCATTATATTTACAAATTACAATAATAGAGGTTTGCAACAGTCATTTAAAAATAAACCTTCTTAACTTAACAGACTGTATTTGTGATTTCTTGTACATCTTTCCTGTTCCTGAAGACCACTTTGTTTTTTGGTTATTGTTGACATGTTGTGATCATAGCCCTTGCAAATGCTGTTGTAATACTAACATGATGTACTCTGTTTTATGGTAATTACATCATATTTTTCCTGTTTTTTAG